TAAAAGAAACGTCCTCAGATACGTGATGCACAATCAAGAACTTGAACAAAATAGCAATGGCGACTAATAATGAAAGCTTTTTGAAGAGAAACACAGACTGATAAAGGAGGAATAAGTAGCTCACCGAAGAAAAATGAAGCCGGCGTTGAGTTTGCCGAAGTCAGACGACAACAGCAAAACGATAAAGCAGTGAAAGCTTCGTCGGAGGGGAAGACTGGAAGCGATCACAGAGCTTACAAGCTTGAGACAATGGCAGATTTGAGAAAGTAAAAGAGAGAGAGAGGGTTTTTTTGCAAAAGTAATGATAAAGAGGTAAGAAGACTAGGAGAGAGGAAAGAAGTTTTGTCAAAAACGCGAAGAGGCAGCAAAACGCAATTGATGTGCCTCAAACAATGTGTTTGTCAGACGGCGTATGCAGGCGCAAGGCGACTTAATGGCGCGTATCGGACACGATCCAGTGGGAGAGGGACGCATAGCAAAAACGGTTGAATTGCAATGCGTGACAGCTAATACGCGTGTTGAAACTCGTGGAGTTCTCAATATAATGAAGCAGAAACCTCGGCTAAGGGGACGATCTCAGCTTAAACGAACTTGGTTATTGGTTCCAGAACATTGATGAAAGCAGACTGTAAGTCTTGATCGTATTAAAACGATAAAGTTATGACTTCGGCAATGAATGATAAAGCGAGATTAGCCGACGTGCTAAATGGAAAGAATGAAATAGGTTCCATCACCTCAGGATGCCGAGATAATAGAACCTAGGGGGCAGTTGTGGGGACATAATTTTTCAATGACAACACATAGCCGAGGTGTCACCAAAGTGCCAGCCGAGGTGCCACGTGTCCTGGTCATGATGTCGAGATGATCTCGGCTAGGCCGAGGTTATCTGTGAGAATACCGGAATCCGAGATAAATGGATAAGGGACAAGAGTCCTAGAATGATAGAAGACTTTAGTTTGGGTAAAGATAAGACTCTTAGAGAGTTTAACCTAATCCTACTGGGAGTGCAAGATTAATAGTAATCCTAGGTCCATTAAAGCTAGGCTTCTATTGGGACTAGGTTTGTGTTGGCTATAAAAGAGAGACACCCTCATGGGTTTAAGGTGTGCTTTTTATGCTCTGAATAGTGAGTTAAGCACTTTTGTTATCTTTGAGAAATAACTGACTTGATCGTTGGAGTGCCCCTGGGTGGACGAACCACCGTCGAAATCTCTTCTTTTTGTGAAAGGTTGTTCGGACTTAATTTATTCTGCTAGTGTTCTCTAGCTGGGTGCTTAATTGGCAGTGTAGTCAGAAATTGACACACACAGGTAGGTTGTTCTTTGTTACCTAATACTAATAATAATAATTAAATAAATATTTTTTTTTTGGTAAACAATAAATTTGTTACTTGCTAGTGAATTGCATTGCCTAAATCTTTATGGATGAATATGTAAATTAGGAGTTTTTTTGCCTATGTTTGGAAAGTGATTTTTAGGGTTTTTTTTGGTTAAAATACTCGCAAAAAATAAAATAGGATTTTTACTCCAATAATACAAAATATCACATCTAACTCATAATCATTACATTCTTTCTCTCACAAAAAAGTCAAAAAAATCAAAAATCCTTCCCAAATTAGGCTTTTTAGTCCCACGCTAAAAAAGTTAAAAAATCAAAAAACTAACCCATTTTCCGAACGAAGCTTTTGAAAATTTCTTCTTTTTTTATCTTGACTCAAACGTTCTCAAAATTCATTCCTTCATCTTTGACTGATTAGATAAGAAAAAATATTTTATGTAACAAATATGTCTCATGACATAATCTTTTACTCACTAAACCCATGTTTGGGAAGAAGGTTTTGTGGTTTTTTTGGTTGAAATAGTCCCAAAAAATAAAATAGGTTTTTTAACTCAATAAGACAAAAGATCACATCTCACTCATAATCATTACATTCTTTCTCTCACAAAAAAATTAAAAAAGTCAAAAATCCATTTCAAATCAGGATTTTTAGCCCCAGACTAAAATAGTTAAAAAAGTCAAAAAATCAACACACTTTCCAAACGAAGCCTAATTAAAATGTGGAGATTGAAATTGAATGTGACTAAACGCTTAGCACTTTGAGCCAAGCACAAAATGACCTTTTGGATTCCACTTCTATCACTTGATAATCAATCAATGAGCCAATGAACACCACATCAACTTCATTACGTGACATATCCATTACATAGAATTCTATCTCAATGACGTAGACAGGGATGCTGCCTCCCACACCCATAGGAATATATATATATATATATTTGGTAACAAAATTAAAAATCTTTTTGTCTGGTTGAATTTTCCGTATTCATTATTTTTCTTTTTCAAAATATAAACTAATTTAATAAAAACAAACACCAAAAATATATTTTCTTATTTTTAAAAATTATTTTAGCTCCAAAATGAGAATCATATGAAAATATAAGCATTTTTTTTATAATTATTTTTCACCAAAAGAAAACAAATGTTAAAAAGTAACTGGCTATCTAAATATTACAAGAATACCTACATGGGTGGTTGGCTACTGATTATGTTAAGTTAAAAATTGATAATTTATAACCATAATTTCATCGACTTCAATAATTATTTTCTTTTCATTTTATTTAAGGTATTTGTACTATTTAAGCTCTATGCAGAATTACATTGAACAGTCTAACACAAAATTACAAAATAGAAAAAAAAAATAATAAAAAAGGGCCATAAATAACTCTTCTAAAATGCATCAAACAACATCAATATTTTTGAAGAATGTAATAAATGAGGGGGGGGGGGGGGGGAGAGAGAGAGAGAGAGAGAGAGAGAGAGAGAGAGAGAGAGAGAAGGATGTTGTGCTAATTTTTTGTGATTAAGAAGCCTCCAGGCAACAGTTTTGCTTGACCACTTCAATAATTTCAATTACAATTAATCGCAATACTTAGTCTCTTTCTTGCATGCATAGGTTACCTCAATATTTGAAATAGATGCAAGTTTCATAGAAATAGTCTTGCTGGCCATGTCTAAGCCTTTTTCTTGTTGCCCGTGTCAAAGATATCTCTCACCTATAAATACAGGTATCATCACCTTACCAAATAGCACCAAAAAGCGTACAATAAATCATATTCACTACTTTTGTTACCACCAAAAAAGTTATGGGTTCTCACAGCTTCTCTCTCCTTGTTAGCTTTGTCATGCTTGCTCTTGCAACCACACCAGCAACAGCTTTCTCTTCAACACTTTCCCCGTATTACTACTATCAAACATGTGTCCTAACGTCCTTTCGACAATCAAAACTGCAGTGAACTCTGCAGTGTCGAGCGAGCGTCGCATGGGCGCTTCCTTGCTCCGTCTTCATTTCCATGACTGCTTCGTTCAAGTATGACTATTAGACTATCCATCTCCTTTCTTTTCAAAATTTTGTTTAGTTACTTTTAATGGCATAGTGCTTGATAATCAGTTATGATATCTATTCTAACAAAGACTTGGTATGATTCTAATGCAGGGCTGCGATGCTTCAATTCTTCTAGACCAAACTACCACCATTGATAGTGAAAAGACTGCACGCCCTAATAATAATTCTGCTAGAGGATTTGAAGTGATTGACAAAATCAAGTTGGAGGTCGACAAGGCTTGTGGGCGTCCTGTGGTATCATGTGCTGATATTTTAGCAGTTGCAGCTCGCGACTCTGTGGTTGCGGTACGTTATCATATGCTTGCAATAAATTTTTTTTAACAACATGCTAACAATAATGTTATGTGACCAAATTTTCAATATCAAATGATTCGCATAAAATTTGGCATAACACTCTCACATGAAATTAGCTCACCAGGCCCACTCTAAATAAAGGAAATTGTGTCCGGTTGAGTGATTAAATTTTATGTGCATAGAAAAATTAGTCTCAAAAACATATTTTGCAATTTCAAAGACATCTTTATGAAGATATTGTGTACTGAAACATGTGTTTTGGTTATGGTTTTTTGCTTACAAACAGCTTGGAGGACCAACATGGATGGTGCAACTGGGGAGGAGAGACTCAACCACGGCCAGCCAATCTGAAGCCAACAACGACATTCCCTCACCATTGATGGACCTCCCTCAACTCATCGAAAACTTCAAAAATAAAGGCCTCGACACCAAGGACCTTGTAGCCCTCTCTGGTGGCCACTCCCTTGGGTTTGCACAGTGTTTTGTCTTCAGAAACCGTATTTACAATGAATCCAACATCGACCCTACCTTTGCACGCGATCGCCAATCTACATGCCCGAAAAGCAGTGGGAACTCAAACCTAGCTCCTCTAGACCCAACAACCGCCATTTTTGACACGAAGTATTTCTCCAACTTGGAGAAGAAGAAGGGGCTTTTGCATTCTGATCAAGCACTGTATAATGGTGGTGAGACAGATGGGTTGGTGAAGAGCTATAGCACTGATATTTGGGCCTTCTGGAAAGATTTTGCTAAGTCTATGATCAAGTTGGGTAATATAGAGCCATTGACTGGGGAAAATGGCCAGATTAGATCAAACTGCAGGATGGTGAACTAATATTTTTAGAGTCAATTGTGTTTCTATATTTGGTTTTGGTTTTTATTTATTTATTTATTTATTTATTTTTGGGGTTTTAAAACAACATTAAATATTTAAGAAACAAGTTGTTGGGTAATAAGTTTCTTATTCTTTTCTCTTTCACGAGGAAGTAGAAGGAAGAGACAGTGTATGTATGATTTTTCTATGAAGATTTGTTTGTTCAGGTGACTGCGAGGACTTGTTCAAGAAAATGCTTGTGATAAATGTGGCTGAACAATTATATTAATAAGATTGACGATTTATTCAGGACTTTATGTCATAGTGAAATTGTGTCCGATTGAGTGATTAGATTTTATGTGCATAGAAAAATTAGTCTCAAAAACATATTTTGCAATTTCAAAGACATCTTTATGAAGATATTGTGTACTGAAACATGTGTTTTGGCTATGGTTTTTTGCTTACAAACAGCTTGGAGGACCAACATGGATGGTGCAACTGGGGAGGAGAGACTCAACCACGGCCAGCCAATCTGAAGCCAACACCGACATTCCCTCACCATTGATGGACCTCCCTCAACTCATCGAAAACTTCAAAAATAAAGGCCTCGACACCAAGGACCTTGTAGCCCTCTCTGGTGGCCACTCCCTTGGGTTTGCACAGTGTTTTGTCTTCAGAAACCGTATTTACAATGAATCCAACATCGACCCTACCTTTGCACGCGATCGCCAATCTACATGCCCGAAAAGCAGTGGGAACTCAAACCTAGCTCCTCTAGACCCAACAACCGCCATTTTTGACACGAAGTATTTCTCCAACTTGGAGAAGAAGAAGGGGCTTTTGCATTCTGATCAAGCACTGTATAATGGTGGTGAGACAGATGGGTTGGTGAAGAGCTATAGCACTGATATTTGGGCCTTCTGGAAAGATTTTGCTAAGTCTATGATCAAGTTGGGTAATATAGAGCCATTGACTGGGGAAAATGGCCAGATTAGATCAAACTGCAGGATGGTGAACTAATATTTTTAGAGTCAATTGTGTTTTTATATTTGGTTTTGGTTTTTATTTATTTATTTATTTATTTTTGGGGGTTTAAAACAACATTAAATATTTAAGAAACAAGTTGTTGGGTAATAAGTTTCTTATTCTTTTCTCTTTCACGAGGAAGTAGAAGGAAGAGATAGTGTATGTATGATTTTTCTATGAAGATTTGTTTGTTCAGGTGACTGCGAGGACTTGTTCAAGAAAATGCTTGTGATAAATGTGGCTGAACAATTATATTAATAAGATTGACGATTTATTCAGGACTTTATGTCATAGTAGATGTTGAAAGCTCAAGCCATACGTGGAAAAAGATTTTGTATATTAATAGAGCATCATATGTCATTAATTATTTTTCAAACACTCAATATAAATATAATAGATTTTATTATCAAATTCAATCACAATATTAAAAAGTATTGCGTGACATATATCCTATCCACATATAAAAATTATTTCATATATGGAGTCACTACAACAAAAAGCATTTTTGGCGATGTTTTTTAGCAACCAAATTGAATTTAGTTGCCAATTGTATGTTTTTTGCGACAATATGCGTGTTGGTCGCCAAAAAATAAACTATTAGCAACAAATATCTCAATTGGTCGCCAAAAATGTTTGGCGCCAATATAATCTTTTCCGCAGGAGCGCTAAAAATGTTTTGGCGACCAAATTAATGTATGGCAACGAAACTTTTGGTCGTCAATTGTAACTTTTTGGCGCCAGAATTCAAATAGTTACGAAAAGGTGAATGATATTTATGGCAACCTAATGATTTTCGTCACCAATAAATTAGGAGTCAAAACGACATCGTTTTGAATCTGTCTTCTTTTATTATTATTATTGTTATTATCATTATTATTACTATTATATGACCTTTAGGTGAATAAACAAGATTGACCTTATATTCATCTCATTCTACAACCTGAAGCGGCACAGCAGAAGACAAAGAGGTATGTCTTCTCTCCCTTTTCTTCGTCTCTCTCTCCCTCTTCTCGTCTCTCTCTCCTTCTCCCTCTCCCTCTCACTCTGACTCGCTCTAGGACATTATAATAAAATTTAGAATATAAAATTAATATTACCACCAATATTACTAACATCCATTAATTAACAACCCAGAATTTAAAGTTCTTACATCACAATTTAATATTAGTACATAAAAGAAATGATACAAATATAAAAAGAAAACTAGAGAAAAACTAGAAATTTTAGAAAATAGTTCATGGAACTTGGCACTCCTCAAGCTAACCAAGGCTGAGGGCCGCCTTGCAAGGCCTCGGTGTTTCCTTCGGTTTCTTCAGTACCTGGCATAAAACGTCAGGGCAACGGGAATGTCAGTGAGCGACGAGCTCAATAAGATACTACAACCCGAAAATACCCACCCCGATAATAATACTCACAATTTATGAATAATGTGTGGTAACAAAATAACAAGTAACATTTAGTAAGCATAAAAGGAATGTTATCAGTTGAAATAATAACAATAGATAATAATAAATCAATTAAAAAAAATATAACAAACGGAAGCAGTATTTCATCATAAGAAATATCTCCACCTTTCTTTTTAAATTTTCATAGATTTAGTTTATCGGATAAATTTAAGTAACTCCCCGCAGACCACTATTTCCACCCAACCGCTAAGCATTGGCCACGGACAATTCTGACTCCCCCTTGGTCAAATGTTCAAATATTACTTACTGTAACTACCAATGATGCTCACGCATCAGGGTTACATACCCAAGTCGTGACATCACGGTCTGCCCCAAGGGAACGGTCTATATTGTGACACCTGCACCACCGACCTTATATCGCTTACACCGATAAGAGCCGAAATACCTTCCCGTGCCATGTTAGGGTTTGCAACTCGCTTGCGCAAGATTCTAGACCGGGCTCACCCCATCACTTTTAAAATTTAATGTATCATTGGTTAAATTTCGTGTTTCTTTACTTGTTGAGATATTCACAATAACTCAACATTTAATTACCAATAATGTTATACCAACGCATTAAAATTTCCAACATAAAATATTACACATGTCACACAATAATAAATAATTGTACAAAATTTAAATAAATAATTTATTTAAATCATGATATAAAATAATAATTTAGGTACCAAAACAAAGAAATAAGTCATAATTACACATATGCATGGATTTTTAATGTACATGATTAGATTAGTACATTATTAAATTTTAATCCAAATAAAGAATTGAAGAGATAATTTTTTTTTTTTTATTCCTCCTGAATCTGCCAAACTTTTCAGAATGTATATCTCGCAAATAAAATTATAAATAAATTACTTATACAACTCTAAAATTCATACAAATCTACAGAATATTCAATAAACATGTTATGGTCATTTTTCAGAAAGCATTTTTAAAAAATAAATTATAAATAACTCTTAAAAATTTCAAGAAAGTTTATGACACAGATTTATCACATTTTTTAAATTAATTCCATACTTAAATTTATAAATCAATTCCATAATCTAAAAATTATTATGAAACTAGACTTCTCAAATTTCATGTTTTGTTTAGAAATTACCATATTTGGTTTAATATTAAAATTTTAATGATTTTTCAAACACATTGTAAAATCAACCTATAGCTCTAGATTTGATTAAAACTCTGTATAAATTCGTACAAACATCCATAATTGTTAAACATATTCATGGATGAAGTAGACATCATTCTAAACAACTTTGTAGAAGAAATCATCTTCAAAATTTGAGTATAAAATTGTCTAAAAATTCATACAAAGTTTCTGACAGATTCAAGGACCAAAGAAAATCTTCAATCCTCTCTTTAATGGTATAAACTACACATGCAAGTCCAAATTCCACAATATTATCATGATTTTCAAACTACCAATATTTGATATACCATCATAATTTTTCATACAATTATAAATAAAATTCTATCTACAAGTTTAGACATTTTATCATATGTATATAATTTGAAAATTTCAAATATAAAAAAATGAGAGGGTTGATATGTTTTTCTTACTATGTTAGGTTTCTAATGATTTATCGCCCGAGTTTGATTTATGATTCTGATCGTAAGATATGACCGTCCTGGCTCCATGATCGTTTTGCTGAAATTTCACATTAATTAGACGCGATCTCACCGTTGATCTTCCATTGGATTCTCTTAGAACTTTTAGTTGTTGATCATCATCTTAGACTTAGAATTTGCAAGATCTAACCCCAAAAATGGATTCTACACGTCGAAAAACCTAAGGGTGGTCATCCCCAAAGTCATAGGACCGCTCGATTAACCTAAATGTATTAGGATGCACCGTAACACCATGGGCCGAGAAATGCTGGATAAAATTCAATTCATCTTCTCCAACAGCCGTAGCATGCACGACCAGAAAGACCAGAAATTTAGTTTCACATCCACTACTTCAAGTTCTTATATCTTTTTTGTCTTAACTCCGTTTTTTCTTATTTTAACGTCATTGGATTTACCTCACAGCCTAGTTTTTGTTTCACTCCTCATACGCCTCATTCTGTCTCTTTTTTGCATGCCATTGGATCTCTAAAATTTGACCAAAAATAAGATTTTTCCTCCCGTCTCCGACTTTTCTTCGAACCATCTTTCGGACTCCATAACTTTCTTAATTGTTAATGGTTTTACTTCATTCCTTCGCCAATCTCTTCAACATACTTCGTACTTCATCATACATGACCTATTTTTCTCACTTCTTCCCGGAATGGATGGTTTTGGCATGCCAAAAGTAAGTCGAAAACCAACTTTTTAAATTCAAAATAAATTTCTCTAACTTTCACTACAAGAAAAAGCACCTTTGGCGACTAAATTTTTAGTCGCCAAAAGTCTGTTTTTAGTCGCCGAAAGTCGAGTTTTTACTTTCAGCGACTAATTTTTTAAGTCGCCCGTTTTGTCACGTATATATTTTCGTCGGAGGTATTGGCGACTAAAATTTTTTCAGTCGGCAAAAAATAGCTCTTTAGCGACCAACGATTTAGTCGCCAATAGTGATTTACGCCTTTTAAAATCACACACTTAGCGACTAATCTTTTAGTCACCAATAGTCCATGAATCGCCAATTAAACCGTTTAGTCGCCCAAAATAAACACTTTTGGCGACTAAAAGGTGCTTCCGTGAAAAAAAAAAAAAAATCAACTTTTTTGCTTTTTCTGAGATTCGAACCGCCAACCTCTCCCACATTCTAAACATTTAGCAACACACTCTCTTCACTATACCACTACAACACCACATGAATACATAAGCAACATATATTATTTATATACTATATTGACCCGTATTAATATCTAGCTATATATATAAAAATAATTATTTTTATTCAATATAATTTATGTAAAAAATAAATTATTTACTAAAAAAAATTAGATCACTTTTGGCGACTAAATCTATTTTTTAGTCGCCAATTCTATAGTTTTGGCTACTAATTATATTTTAGTCGCTAAAAAAATTCATTCCTGCCGAAAAACCTCCACTTTTGGCGAGTAAACTGAAATTTAGTCGCTATTTTAGTTGGTAATTCTTGACTTTTAGCTACTAAATTATTTTTAGTAGCCAAAAAGCTTCACTTTTGGCTACGAAATTGATTTTTGTCGGTAAAACACGTATAATCGGCGACCAAACTATTTTTTAGTCGCCAAAACCTATACTTTTGGCTACTAAATGTTTTTAGTCGTCAAAAACCTTCTCTTTTGGCTACTAAAATTTTTTTAGCCGCTAAAACCCCTATATTCGGCGACTAAACTGAGTTTTAGCCGCCAAAACCCCTACATTTGGCTAATGAACTGTTTTAGTCGCCAAAAGTGTTCACTTTTGGCCACTAATTCCATTTTAGTCGCCAATTCGGCTACTTTCAGCGACGAAAAATCCATTTTTAGTCGCGAAATCTGCTTTTTCTGGTAGTGTTTGTTTCTTTCTCCTCCATCTTCCTTCTTCTTCTCTTTCTTCGCCTACAACACTTCGTGAATGGTG